CGCCTCGGAGCGGTTGGCCGCTATGCGTGCCAGCTGCTCTGGGGTGAGGCGAGGCGGGGGGAGCGGCGGCGGCGGCGGCAGCGGCGGCGGGGGAGAGGGGGGGAGAGAGGGGATAGGCCCCAACAAACTCTCTGCATCTAACTCCTCATCCGATCTAGGCTCATGCATGGGAATATTCCTGCTGGGGCGGTCAGGAGCTGGAGTCGGAGCAGGGGTGGGAGCTGGAGTCGGAGCACATATGGGGCCCTTGGGAGTCTCACTGGGGTCGTCCTGGAACCTGTGCATGTCTGGATCAGCTCTCTGCATCTTGGTCGTTCTTCCTGCGAAGTCTGGTGCTGTCTCGAAGTCCGCACCTATCTCTGGCAGGTAAAACTTGCGTAGGTCAGCGCACAGCGCGCTCTCATCCATGTGCTGATCATCATTGTCAGCATCTGTGAAAATGTTGTGCACGGAGGCTGCAATGGCTGCTGCTAGGCGCGCGCACATCTCCTCGGGATATGTCTTCTTAGCATGCGTCTTGAAGACTGTGCGTCCTCCAACGTGCTCCTTTCCCTGCAGTATTTTGTGCACTCCTCTCCCGTGATGACACCAGCCATTGCCTGGCCCTTCGCACAGGCGTCGTCGCAAACATGGCATAGCCTGGTGGACACTGGATCCTTGTACATGGCAGGATCGTGCTGCACCTTGCAGGGCCTCGGTGCAGTTGGCACAAAGCTGGACGGTGGGAAAAGCAAGCATGCTGCCACCACGTTGTGGTCTGGCTGCGTGACTGTGAGGTCGATGCCGTGATCGACTCCTTGCGCAGGCACACGTATATCAGAGGATAGCGCTATGTAGTCACGCCGCTTAGGTGTAGTGCGTGCTCCCGGGGCCGTCCAGGTACCAGCAGATCCCGAGGGGTCCTCGTAGAAGGTGGAAGGGGCCCATTGGGCCGTGCCCTGGAGAAACATGCGAAAACTGTAACCAGGTAAATTCTCCGGTTCCGCATGTATGGGCCCCACATGCGCGTCCGTGTGTGATCCCATTGCTGCATTGGCATCGATCAGTGTAACGACGTGTTCTGCTGTACCTCTGTGGCGTCTAATAAGCTGCTGTAGTTGTTTCCACCACTGTCGTATGTGTGCTGGGGGTCGGCGCGAATGCGGAGCATGCGCAACACAAACACAAAGCGACAGCGAAGGGGCCCTTACGGCCACAATCATGATATCTGGTGCTGCATGTAGCACCTGACAGTGAGAAGGCTGTACGCTGCATCCCTCCTGGTACTCCCAATGCGTGTTAATCCATACCGTACATCCTTCCCCTCCGGAGTCGTTAGCCTGGGCGTGCAACAGGAAGTACGGGCCAAGCTCGGAGGTGCCTGTCCGTCTGAGACGCGTCTCGACTGTGCCTACTATGAAGTAGGGTCGCTGAGCAAACTGCCCCGCCAGCTGCATCATGCGGCCTGTGGCGTTGAAACCTTGAAACTTGTCGTGAGCCTGTCGGGAACCCTTGTAGGCTCGGGGGTCCAGCGAGAGCACGTTGGCCATGGCCAGCCACCCCATGGCAAACACGTGTCGGCCTCGCGGGGGTCTCTTGGGGATCGGTAAGATTTCCCGAATGCCAGTAGAGGAAGCCTGAGGCGTAGGGAGAGGCGTACCGTGGTCGGGTGGGTATGCCTGTCGGGAGCTGGAGTCGGAATACAGTAGCCAGATCCAAGGTAGGGCCTTCTGGTGGGGGTCCTGATGTATGAGGGATCTCCATGTAGGCTCGAAGAACTCAGGCAATACACGCATGGCGCACAGGCGCGCAAGCGTATCCACGCATTCGTTCCACGGATGTGCAGTGTGTCCGTGCACATGCTCGTATGCCACCACAATCACACATGCACGGATGATCTGAGTAAGACTGTCAAGTAGTGTCTTAGCGGGTAGCAGCACGCCATGCACATATCCTCCCTGGTATATGCGGAGTACGTCCATATTGTCCGTGTAAAAGCATATCGGAGCTTGTCTGCAACGCAAAGGTGCTTGCAGAAGCCAAGCTGTGGCCCAAATGGCCGCTTCCAGCTCAGCTCTCAAAGGGGCTCGCGCATCAGAAGCGTCCCACCCTGCAACGGACCTGCTAGATATCCTAAGAAGGAGACCCCGATGGTGGTGACGGCGAGAACACAGAATGCCCATGCAGGTGCGCATATCTGCCCCTGATGCCTGAAAGTCCCCGCTGTCGCATCTGTGTATATCCTGAGATGATCGATCTGGGCCTTCGGGTCGAAAGGAACAAGACTGGTGAAGGCTGAGACCGTAGATGAATGCCAAAACTGAGCCCACGACAGCAAGTCATTGGAAAGCTGAATGGGCCATTTCCTCTCTAGCAACTTCTTGGTGGCGTGAAGCGGCGGTATGGGAGAGTATGGGGCACCTGGCGTGGATTCCACTGTGGGGCTGTGAATATGGTATCCGAGGTGCTCCGAGTAATTTTCCGTCTGCTTGTCCTCTTCACTGGGAAATGGGCTAGCAGG